CCCGGGGAAGACCCAGGACACGCTGGAGGGACTATGTCTCTCGGCTGGGCTGGGAACGCCTCGGCATTCCCCCGGAGGAGCTGGAGGAAGTGTCTGGAGAGAGGGAAGTCTGGGCATCTTTGCTTAGACTGCTGCCCCCGCGACCCGGTCCCGGATAAGCGGAAGAAAATGGATGGATGGATGGACGGAGCTGAATACAAATGGGAAGCTATACAGTTCATATAGAATATAGAATTATATAGAATTCATTTTTTCTACAGTGTTGTAACAAAATAATAAGTGCAAAGGAAACCAGTGATGATGTTGATAAATTATAGTTTATGGTGGAATTGATGCACTTTAGACACATGTATTGAATGGAAGGAGCAGAAAATGTAGAGTTTTCCTGGTCCAAAGAGCCTCTTATGGCAGCGCTACTTGTTTTGTTTGCTCCTTAATAATAAGATCTGTCTTTTTGATGGCTGCTCATCCTGGAGTCATAGTTTCCGCGACTCTCTGGAGAAACTCAGTCACAGCCTTCTTCCAGATTCTGACCAATGACCTCAGCCTGGCCATGGATAGTCTGTTAGAGGTGTGCTAATTCATGATTGGCATATCTAATGAGATGCAAAGCGAGTGCCAGACTATGTGTTCACTAGATGTACAGCGATACCACTTTTATACTCCTTCAAGTAGAGCAGATAGTGGTATAATCCCAGCTGATCCCCTGTGGTGTAAGGTCAGATGGTCCATAGAGATACTACAGGGGGGGAGATGGTCAATTAATGCTGCTCAGAATAATACGCAGTATGAGACTTGCACAGAGTAATAAATGATAATAACATAACATGATAAATAAAATGTAACATATCCTGAGTAATCATCCATTATATTAAAAATGTTGTTCAAATGAACTATTGATGCATAAGGTGTCAAATGAAGTAATATCACTGCCTGTGATATCATAAGAGGAGAGATGTGTTTTTCAGCAAGACAGGGAAAAATGTAAAAACTCAGCCTGACAAAATTATTATACAGTACTTTATCCAGTTACACACTCTGCTTATAATATACGTTTTTAAGTATGTTTGTTGTAAGTAACGCCAGGGATTTCTATGGTAGTGTAGCAACCACAGGAAGCATAAGCAATGAACTCATCCATGTTGTAGAGGTGAAAACAGGAAACAAACCCGGTGTAGTATTCAATACATCAATATTTGTATTTCACTGTACATTCATAGGATATGTAGATTCTTTTCCATGTGCACAAGCATTACAGATGAACAGAATTTATTCTGAGCATATTTTCATATGTTATTTCTATTTACAGATATTTTAAAGCCTTTTAATATACAGGACTATACAGATATAAAAGTCTTGACACATTATTTTCTTTTGTGGTTATTAGGAAAGTCTGAGAAACATTATAGTGCAGCACATCACATTAATGTCCAGGAAATTATTTTCATCTGGAGTGCAAATTAGGCCAAAACAGAA